TTGAAAAGATATATGATCACATGTACTCAGTTTCAATTTTAAGATATGTTTAAGAAAAATAAATATACTTGACATGAAATTACATTTCAATTTGTAGTTTCTTTTAATGCTACTTTAAAACAGTTATTTACTTTCTGTATGTTGACATTCAAATGAAAAATAGCACTTTAATAATGATCTAAATGCAAATCAGAATGAACTTCAGGCCTTAAATATTATAGTACTTTAAGTTTATATATTAATAAGCAAAGACAAAATCAGCTCTTAAGTGATAAACATAATGTTAGCATAGTTTTAATTTAGAAAGTGACATTAGAAAATGACATGAAACAGATAAAATGCCTTCTAAAAGATTTTTGTTCTTCATTTATAAATTTTAATTTTTTGAGCCATTACAGGTAACATGCTTGTTAAATATTTCACTCTCCATTTTGTTTTGTGTCTATAAAAATATAATTGTCCTTAATAATCCTAAATTCTTTGTTTTCCAAATAAAGCCACTATTATATGGTGAGTAGTTACTGAATCATAGGTTTAAAATCAGTGGCAAAATCACCTATGTAGAAGGTGATGTAACAACTCAGTTTAGGTAAGAAATTAAGTACGGTATACAGTAATAGCCTTATATAAGAGGTAGAATTTTTAAATCACAGTTTTATAGAAAAGATGCAGTAGTTGTATCTGTACCCTGCTTTGTTATTTATGGTACTATAAGTATGCTTCTCATTATGAATTTGACAGAAAGGAGAAAAAGGAGGACTTTTTATTAAGAATGATCTTATTGGCCTTTGTTCTGCATGGGCTTCTCTTAGAGAACCTGAAATATTTTCTTGGCCAAATAAGGTAATTAATTATATATGGCATTTACCTCATTTTTAAAGAGGGGATGTGGCTCAATGGTAGAGAGCTTGACTAACAGGCATGAGGTCCTAGGTTCAATCCCCAATACCAAAGGAAGAAAAAAAAGAAAAAAGAAAAGGTCTCTGAATAGTTTCTAGCCTTCTATTTTTCTAGGGCATAAAAAGTAGGGAAATGTATTTTTTTCCATACCACTGAGTGTAAGTTGTAAATGGAATCACTAATTTTCCTGGGTACTGTTATTGCTTGTCAAGAATTCCTGCAATGTAAATATAACCTATATATTGATGGGTTCTATGCCCAAATTTGTATGTGTAGTACTAGAGATTGAACCCAGGAGCAGTCTACTGCTGAGCAACATCTCTAGCCCTTTTTATTTTGTTCTTCATTTTGAAACAGGGTCTCACTAAGTTGTTGAGACTGGCCTCAAATTTGTCAACCTCTTAGCTCAGCCTTCTGAGTAGCTGGAGATGTGCACTACCACATCCAGCTATGCCCAAATTTTTCAGTTGTTTCTAACTCATATTTACTATAATACTATCAATGGGTATAACTTAAAATTTGTTTGTTTTATGATGAAGTTAAATTACTATTACTTGAGTAAGATTAAAGTAGAATAGGAGAATTTTTTTATGTTTGTATGGCTTATTTAAATATTAGGTGTTTATAACTTGGGACTGTGTTTCTAATCCTTACTTCAACATAAATAAAGTGAATAGAAATGTATAATAAAAATTATAATAAATGTCTACACTCAGTACTAAATTTTATGGTAGAGCTTATGTTTCATAAATTGTACCTGAATACAAATAAAAGACAATTCAAAACAGAAAAGTTATAGAAAATAAAACCCAAAAATAGTTTCCTCAGTTAACTGGAACTTAACCTCTAATGATTTATTTTAGGATTGGCATATCATGATAAGTCATCAGATTCCAGATATTTATTTATTTGCAGTTCCATTTAAGTGAACATTATTTTGGATCAGATATCCTTAAATTGTTTCTGATAACATCCAGAACTCAGAAAAGGAGAAATTTATTTACATTAGGACCATATCCTTTTAAGCAATATTTCCTTCACAATTGTTGGTAATAATGTATTACTGAAGTCAATAATCATGTTAGAACTAACATAACACTGTTGATAGATAATATAAAAATAAATTTATTTTATCTCATATTTACTGTTAAAATTCTATACCTTAATTAAGGTCTAGACAGAATGCATCCTTATGGATGCTGACCAACCTTTATCTGTGTATCTTCACTTTAGAACACTTTTAATTCTATATCTTCATTTCAAAGAGAAAACTTGTCCTAATTTTAATGAGAAAGTATGCTTTTGCAGTTTCAAGACACTGAATTAACAAAATGTCAACTTTTGGGAATGTAGGCTAAGTATATAAAACTAATACATTTTGTTAATATTTTACATTGAAATATACTTGGTTTTAAAAATTCTAAAAATGTTTGTTTCAGAGCTGTTTCTATTTATCTTTTAGGAGAGATGCATATGTAAAGAGGAAACAATATATTCAATTCATAATTATATAATTCTCACATGATTTATATAACTTACTATATTAAAAACTTTTACAATTGATTTGTAACTGCCACATTTACAAAGAAGTTGTGGGCAAAAGCAGATTTTTGGTGTTGCATTTAGACCCAATATTCATTTCTTTAATTCACTGTGACATATGAAAAATTTTTTCAAAATTAGGAAAATACAATTATTAATATGGCTTCATTCAATTAAACTTATCTTTTATAAAATATTCCTGGTATACACTTAAAAACAACCGAATTGATAAGACTATTTGCACAGAAAGTGAAAACTTTCCTTTCACATTAAAATGATACTTGTTTTACACTTAATGATAAAACATTTTGGAAAAGAATACTAATGGTACCAGTTTATTGCATTTTTATGCCTTTTTTTTCTCAATGTTAAGTAATCCAGTGGAGTTTTAAGTTCTATTTTTCCTCTTATCTTCAAACAGACTCTTCAGCATATAAACCTGAATGGCTGACACCACTACCATGACCACTAAATTAACCATAGACCAGAAATTGACTCTATCAAAATTGCTTTCTTGTATGTTTCGATCACGAGCTTCAAATGCTCTAAGCAGAGTTTGTATATGACCACTTTTGCTTAGTCTGGACTTGATGCTGTTGATGGATTCCAGAATGTCTTCTAGTTTCATCTCCAACATATCTGTGCCAGTAATATATTTCTTCCAGTCTTCTTGTTCTTGTGCCTGTTCTCCCATATTATCCAGGATTAATTCAAAGAAAATTACTTTCTCAGAAATAGTGCTGAATGTATTGTCAAAGCAGAACATGTAGTCACCAACTTCAGTCTCAACCGTGTGAACTCCATCTGATTTTCTTTGTTCAAAAACTAAGGTTTTGCCTTCTGGAGAGGCAAGGTAGAAATCAATATCTAATCCAGCTCCATCTAAAACTTGATACTCGATCTCCAGCGAGGCCTTCAGGGGCATGGGCTGGTAGAAACACTCTTTCTGCCCGGCGGGAAGGGTGAAGGTGAAGTCGCTGTCCAAAGAGGGAGTGAAGCCGGCCGCCCCCGGCAGCAGCTCTGGGGTCAGAGTGGCCAGGAGGAGCACAGGGAAGGGCAGCCAGATCTTGTCTCCCATCCCTGCTGGGGCGAGCTTGGGCTGAAAGTGGCGTGGGAGGTGTAGATACTGGCGCCTCGGCTCCGCTTTTTTTCCCTGGACTCCTCGTGGCAGGGAGACTCAGAATATGAAGAAAGTTCAGGTGGCGGCCGCGGCGGCGGCAAACGCGCTGCTCAGCATTATTTGTAATAGCCCAATCTGGAAACCCAATTATCCATCAAAAGGTGAATGAACAAACTGCAAATCACACTATAGAATACAACTGAGTAATAGAAAGGAATTACTGATACTACACAGATGAACCTCAAAATAATTATGCTCAGTGAAAGACATCAGAGACTACAACTGTGATTCTGCTTATATAAAGCTCTGCTCTTTTTCTAAAGCGTTGCCTTTTTCTTGTTAATTTAAAAGTGCTTCATCTGTTAAGTATAACTTAAGTATTCACAAAGATTTTCACAAAGCCTACAGTTTCCCTCTTAACATTGTTTATAGGGTTTGGTTTTGAGTTTTATTTTGGTTTGGTTTTGGTTATATCACCTTGTTTTATAATTGAAATTTTCAGTATTTGTATATTGCTCACAATATGGACTTGGTAGCAATGTGAATCTATACATGTATGAATTTTCCACTTCTAGAAAAACTAGAGATGTGTAGATACTAAAGAGGCAGGTCAAAAGCAAAGCCATCCTATATTAAACAAAGTAATACAGTGACTCTCTTACTTTAAATAACCTATTTATCATTTTGGGAAAGACTACAGATTCCTAGTCTGAAAACAAACTCTCCGCAAACATTAAACTAATTTTCATCATATGATTTAGAATTCCAGTTGGAATTTCCTAGAGCCTGGTCAACCAAGGGTTGATAAAAAATGAAGTTCTTTTGCTCTAATCCCTAGCACTCCACTTTCTTCACCCAGGTAGACATCGCTAATTGATTGCTGATTCTTCCAGAACTCAGATATTATCTAAGAAGGTATCTCTGTGTACCATTCCAGGGAGATGGAGTTGGCAGGTAAGACAAAACTTTTTGCTACTCTGGTTCTAGTCCAGTCTTCCATATTTAGAGGAATAAATGGAGGGCCCGGTTGAAAATGGGACTTAACACATATCATCAGTCAGTTAGTTATAAAGGCAGAGCTCAAAGCCTCCTGACCTTCAAGCTACTGCTCCTGCTATGGCACCACTGTGTCCTGCCTCTTACAACATGTGTGTCAAGAACTCCTGAGTGGTTACAACCAGATTAAGGAGGAGCCTCACTGGGTAATCTATGGGAGCAAAAATTTCCAGATGATACAGTGACAAATGTCACAAAGTGAAGAATCTGTCTTATGGAGAGCTCTTCATGGAATTGCATAAAAAACACAATGAAGTATTTGCAGAGGAGCGAGGGGAGTAATGGTCACCTAACTCTAGTGCTAGGTCCAGTACCAACCTTCAGTCTCAAGCTGGTGGACTGATTAATATTTGTTTGCAGAGCGGAGCAGTAATAAATTGTTGGGAACAGAACAAGAGAAGATTAAGGCTGACAAAAGCTAGCTGCCTTCTTTGTCCTTCTCCCATGCATCCTCCTCTTCTCTAATTCTGAACAAATATTTAAATAATATCAATTTAAAAGATCACCATATTATAGGCCTGCCTTAAACACCAAATTATTGATTCTCCATAAGCACTCACATGTCTCCAACCAGCTCAACCCTCACCCAAATTCTACTCATCCTTCTGCCTCACCTACTCTGTAAAGGCTTCTCCGACTCCCACCCCACCTATATGGTCACCCATGTCTCCTAAATCTGTCTGTTATCTGTACCCAGATTAGGCTCTGGCATGTGCCACCTGTTATCAACAAGAATCTCTATGCAAGTGCAACCTGCTGCTTCTCCACAAGCACAAACTGTACCTTTTCCTTGTTTGTATGCCAGGTGGCACCTGACTGATACAATCAATGCTCAGAAAATATCTATTGGTTAAATCACAATTAGAAGAACTCACAGTAACTTCTGGGCCTGACTTTCAAAGAGCCCGTGTGGAGATCTTGGAAGAACACAGAGTTTCTTTTTCTCAAAGGTCTATCCAACTGGGTCCTGAGCCATGTATGGATGGTTTCTGTTTGGGGAGACGTTATATGGAATTGCTTCACCTGTTTCATGACTGACTCTCATTTTATCACAATTTATACATTTAGTAACAACATATGTCTATTTCCTCTCATACTTAAGACCAGTAACTTTGTGGTGAAAGCTCACAGTGGAATATAATTTATCCTCCATCAGGAGGGCTGGAATTAGGGAGTAAGAAAGAAGAAATTGTTGATGGTTAGTCATTTGAGCAGAAGCCAGGCACAGTGACACATGCCTATAATCCCAGTTGCTCAGGAGGCTGAGACAGAAGGATCACAAGTTCAAAGTTAGCCTCCGCAACTTAGTAAGTCCTGAAGCAAATTAGTGAGACCCTGTTTCAAAATGAAAAATAAAAGACAACCTGGGGTTAGGGCTCAGTGATTGAATACTCTTAGATTTAATCCGAAGAAGAAGGAGGAGGAGGAGGAGGAGGAGGAGGAGGAGGAGGGGAGGAGGAGAAAAAGAAGAGGAGGAGGAGAAATAAGAGAAAGATGAGGTGATTGGCAATGTGAGTTCATTAATGCAAACAAATCTTTATCTGGAACAGGATTCTAAACTAGGGGGAGAGTTTGCCCTTCCTTTCCAGTAGATTGCCAGATTATATATAGTATACCCAGTTACATTCACACATCCTAAAAATTATTGTTTCTATGAAATTCAAATTTAGCTAAGCATCCTCTATTTTTATTTGCTAAATCTGGCAACCTACTTCAAGGTACATGTGACAATATCTTAAGACATTTTTTTACTGTTGCAACCTGGGGGTACTATTGGTACCCAGTAGGTAGAAGTCAAAGATGCTGTTAAATATTCATCCCCCCCTACAGCAAAGAATTATCTGATGGAAAATGTTCGCAGTGCCACTGTCAAGAATCCTCATTTGGAAGGATAGTTTTGATGGGCTGTAATTCTAGATTTGTGGGACCCTACTAGACCTCCAGGAGCCGAATCCGATGCAATCACACAAGAGTCTTTATTGCAAGCTCGAGCCTAGACTTACAACCGTTCCCGACGCATCGGTCCCAGGGAGTGAGTCCCGGTCCTTTGATCAGTGAGATTTTATAGGTTTTGGGGGGATACTCTATGCATCACAACATCACACAACAAATCATTCCATACCGAGGGAAAATCAAACAACAACTCTTAACATTGATTAGCACATTCACTGATGGGAACAAGTTGGGTAGGGGTGATTGGTTAGTACAAGAGAGGGATTCCTTTGAACTGATTGGTTTAAGCCATGAGGCAAAACCACATGGTTGCCCAACATGTTATCAACCACCATAAACTACTGGGGGATCATCTGGCATCCCAGGTATTTTCCCTGTCTCATGCTGATTGGTGGTTGCCAGGGAGTTGCTATGGGTCTTCACCTAGCCTAACTGAGTCAGGGACACCTGGCTCCACAGATCTCTCCTGTTATTTGCAGACAAACAACTCAGCCTTGTGGTTATCTGCCTAGAAAGGCTCTCTGTGGGTTTTTCCAAGGACAAGGGTCACACCCCCTTCCTTAGGACAGACCTTGAGGTAGAAGCTGCTGTTATTTATTTTCAAAAAATGGAGTCACATCAGTTTCTCAGGGCTGAGATGCAACCCCATAGTAGAGTACTTATCTTAGCATGTATAAAGCCCTGGGTTTCATCCCCAGCATCGAGAGAGAGAGAGAGAGAGAGAGAGAGAGAGAGAGAGAGAGAATTTTATCACTATAAAGTACCTAGCATCACTAAAATGGCACAATAAAAAAACAGTATACATAGATATGTATAGATGTATGTCTGCTCACTACATCTGAAAACATGTTTGCCAAGTTTCTTTCTTTTAACTCTATAAACTATCAATGAACTAGTTTTATAATGGCAATTTCTACAGCCCTGAGATATGACAAAATTCAGATCATATTGGGGGTGGGGGGGCCTCAGAATTATTAAGTGATTTCCTAGGATTCCTAAGACAGAATTAAAACCCACAACAGCTAAATACATTGCTCATCCCAATAAAGCCTGCCTGCCTGCCTGCCTGCCTGCTTCTATTGCTCAGCTCTCTATGTTCAGAATGGGGCCTTTGCAAAGCATTTTAGTTTTCAAGAGGAGATCAAAAGTTTTCACAACTGATTAGCATCCAGAAAGCAACAGCCTCCCTTAACCTTGAGATGCAAATAGCCAAAGATTGTCAAGGGATCTAAAGGGCTGGAGGATTTGATGGAAGATCAAATTCCCGACATTTCCAGGGCAATTAGTCTCACATGCAAAGTCACAGGAAGGGGCTGCCCATTCTCCATAAGCAGTAAAGCTGTGATAAGACTCTGAGCTTTAGGAACTTGAACTAATTGGCCTGCACCCACCCAGCAGAGTTCATTATCGTTATCCCTGTTTCTTAGAGCAGAGAAGGTAGATGGAAATCTTTTGACTTTACCACTAGGCCCTGGCCTCTTGAATACTTCTCATTTCAGATCACGGTACCTAAAATCCAGGTACCAATGGTTGGGATTGCTCTGCTAGTTATTCATATTTGTGGGAAGGGAAAAAATCTGGAATTAAGCCAATCTCTTTGCAGGCACCTCTTAAAATTATACTTGAAGGTGAGTCCTGGACTCAAAAAGGTTTAAAACAGCTCAGCACTTTTATCTGATGGATATGGAAACCTGGGAGGAAGTTGCTGTCAATTCCATCCAGGACTTTGGAGCATGAGCTAAATTGATTTTGAAAGATCTGATTGCTAAACCGCATCCCTCTCTCTGGAACCCTGGGCTGGCGCCACTGCTGACTTCTTCAGATATGCCATAGTAGTCAAGTTTCAGCCATGTGGCAGAGAGCATTTGGTGACTCAAATGCAGCCTGTTGTCACAATAGATTTTCTACCTGCAAATATAGCTATACAGTCTTTTGTCATCACCCTGGTTCTCTAAAGGGCAGCACAACAGCATCCCCCAGGACCATTCAATGACTGGGAAATCTGCCATTGGGAAGCCCTGCACCACTGGAGAGATGTGACAACCTGACTCTCAAGGGCTTTCACCTTGATAATGCCCATTCTCTGGCACTGAT